TCGCCCTCCGCTTTAGAATATATATAGCATGTCTGAGATCCCTCTGTAAAAGTGCATGGGTAAAGGGTGTGCCTAGTGATTTTTGCAGATTTTCGAGTTTTTAACATGAAAATTTTAATGTGGGTGAGACTTTTACAATGGGAGTGCTCAAGTAGACGTCTTTACACAATGGTAAAAAAGCCTCCACTTGAGCACTCCCATTATGAAAGTCTCACCCACCCTTCACCCGGTACTTTTTAACGAATTCCAGGCAAAGTATGTAATTATGTTTTGAAAGCAAAGGATGAGACGGTTCCAATGGTAACCATCTTCATGTACTATCTTTTCATCTACAAAAGTTATGAATTTTTTATGTTAAAAATCGAAAATCTCCAAAAATTACTAGGCACGCCCTTCACCCAGGCACTTTTGTGAACGAATCTCAGACATGCTATATATTTTCTGAACGCGGAAGGCGAGACGGTTCCAATGGTGACCATCTCCAAGTAGAATCTGTTCATCTGCAAAAGTTGTGAATTATGCTAAAAACTCGAAAATATCCAGATATCACAACACACTCCCTTCACCAGGCACTTTTTTCAAAGACTCCAGGCAAACTATATATCCTCAGAATGCGGAGGACAAGGCGATTCCGAAATTTGCCATTTCAGTGTATAAGATTTTCATCTACAGAAGTTATAGATTATTTGTCTAAAAGGTTCGTAAATATTTGGAAATCGCTACCCACGAGCTTCGCCAGGCACTTTTTTGAAATAACTTCGGGCGAACTCTCAGACAAACTATATAATTCCTGAAAGCGAAAGAAAAGATGGTTCTGAAAACAATTTCCTTGCTGACGTTCCTGTTCATCTACAGCAGCTGTAAATTTTTTGTTTCAAAAATTTGTGAACGCTCAAAAATTGTCTACCTTATTCCCGAAACAGATGTTCTTGCACACACATCTTTTACTCTATGGTATTTTTGAAAGCAAACAATTTTTGTAGGATTTCCAATCCTACTCCAGTCTTCACAAAAAAGACAGCCAATGATGGTAGAGAATGGATGATATAACGTTGATTAGGGAGAATGATGAGAGAACACTATCACTCCCTTCCCCCCCCCCCCCACCCAGTCGTCGACATTTTACAGTTTCTCGATCAAGTGGAACACCCTTCACCCTGGAGGGGCTGCGACCACTGTGACTCCCTTCACCCTGGAGGAGTCATTCTCACCTTATCGAACCTGTGGTGGGAAGAACAGGCATCTGCACGGGAGTTTATGAGTGGAAGAGGTTCGTAAAGAAAATCTTCGCGATATATCTCAATAAGATTCGAGTAATTATCCAAGTTACATTTGAACACTGACACTCGAATGTCTATTGTGCATTCGATGTCGATAAATGATAAACTCCAAATGTAAAGCACTTTGATGTTCAGCTATTCAAACCGGAACTTGTTTATATTCGGTTACGCCCTTATTCGAGTTTTCTAATATATTAGGTTTTTCAGTTTTTTGACATTAAAAGAAATCCGCCAAGGCCCTTACGCACGTACATCCCAAAGGCGAGGAGAGAGAGATATCTTGGGTATCTCCAAGGAATCATTCCTTATCTCTAAAGCCGTCTACCTTCCTATATAAACTGGATAAAATGTCGTAAATTGTATTGAGTATCTATTATGGCGCCGCCAGGCGTATTTATAGTAGAAAAAGGTTCTCAGGATATCGAAACCTTTGATGGGTAACTGTTTGAACACTGGGATTTACGACGTTGTCGTCGAACTTGTTTATTAGAAGATAGATGGCTCGGAAGACAGGGCTGATTTCCTGGGGAGTCCCCAGAGGAAATCACACAAAACGATGAAAATCTCAGCTGGTATGGCTTTCCGACATCTATCATGCACAGGTATTAGGTTATGAGAGCCTTCATAAGAGGGAAAGACAATGAGGAGTACAGTCATATAGAGCACTAGATATGACGCGTCCATGTTCACTACTCCATGCTCATACTTCTATCTCCCCCTTCGCTCTCGCGTGGATGTACGTGCAGGGAGTCTAAGGCCTAAGGCGTGACTCACGCGATTTTAGTCGCCGCGCGACTTGGCACTGCAACGACTCTCCATAGCTGGTCGTAAGTGCACTTTGCTTGGGCCAGACTTGCTGTGTTTGTTATAATTTACGGAACCTACGCAGCCATGCATCTGAGAGCCTCGCATGCTTAATCTCTAGACATTTGGCAGATCGCCAAGTCGCGAGGATGTAGCGATTTCGCGAAATCGAGAGAGGTATGCCTTAGGCCTAAGGACTTATCCAGAAGAATGAATGGTTGTATGCTATATCAAGGAGTGTTTGTAATTGCCCAAGAGCAGCTTTAGCAAGCGAGGATCGTGGCAGCGTAACTTTGGTCTGTGTCAATTAGGTATTCAGTTTTGCGTAGGAACTCCGCATATCGCAAGGGCTGTGCGTGCAAACCTTCAGTCGATTCAACAATTCAAATGCCCAAGCCATGTGCGTCCGAATGTGGCGCGAAGCTTTGGCATTGCGATGCACTACGGCAAAGGGAATACATGATTGGCACAGACTGTAGCTTACAAGGGAAGCCTTTTTAGTTGAATTGACCTTTCCAAATGCATGTAAATTCAATATATAAAAATAAAGTCCTATATCCCCTTGGAGAGCGTGGACGCTGATTCCAAATCTTTTTTATCTGCCAAACGCTCCATGCCGAGTTATTAATATTTTTTGGAGCAAGAATGAACGCGAAACTTAGGCAAAAATGCTGGATACGATCTCTCCTGCGCTCAAATAGAGCAGTGTTGAGTATGGGGATATTAGACAAAGGGATATTATCCATTAAGTGAATTGCTCTGATAATCAACACGTGACCATTCGAGCTAATCTGGACGGTCTTGCTTTAGTTGCGCATCCCATTTTCCACTAAAAATGCCCATAAGGCTTGCCAGATAAGGAAGACAGTTTTGGAGTCACTGTTTAATGCGCTGCAAAGTAGTATAGACATCGTGTGGAAAGGACATCACTTCAACTAAAGACTTCCCCAACGGCTTTCCTTGTTAGCTATATATAGCCCTATCCGTAGCCCATGTTGTAAATAATCTCCATAACGCTACGCCTATAGATTCATGGACAATCGAAATAGTAGCTACATTCCTCATGCTTCCCACCTCAGTGAAGATCGTGCACGGGCCTAAGAAAGACAAATATCAACATTACGTTCCAAGGAATTTAGCTTTTTCTCAAGATCATACATTCCGAACATTTACCAAAATGGGTACAGACCGCAGTAATCCGGAATAATCTATTCCCCAAATAGGATTCGATATATCATTAGATAGAGCAAACCTACTCTACAAGATATTGTTTTAAGATCTGCAGCAGCTCTGATCTAAGCGAAGATTGAAGCCAAAAACGAAAAGAACCAAGCGCCCAAAAAACCAAGAAAAAATTGGAAGTCCGTTCAGAAAAATCTTTCAAAATTCCTAACATGCTCATGCATCGTCATTTCGTATAAGACAATTTTCTATGCATTTGCTGTATTTTTCTCTTAGCTAGAAACTGAGAAAACGGAGTTTTTCATGTTTTTTCCAAAACAATGCTGAGATGTTCTAGCACTGACAGTTGTATACTATAGGGCCTTAGAAGCGTGAGCGTGAATTTTCAGCTCTTTACAGCTGGTTTAGTGAAATATCGAAATTTTAGCAATTAGGCAAGAAAAATTCGGATAAGGAGAGGATTCGTCATTTCTCGCGAATTATCAGTTCTAGAAAGCTGAAAATGTAAAGTTTCACTGCTAACGACACGTACTATACAACGTTAGTGCTAGAACATCTCAGCACTAATTGGGCAAAAACATGAAAAACTTCGTTTTTACATCGTCTAATTGAGAAAAAAATACGGCAACCGCATAGATAAATGTCTTACGTGGAATGTCTACGCGTGAGCAAGAAAGAAATCTTGTAGGAGCTTTTTGAACGAAGTTACAATTGTGTTTGGTCTTAAGGTTTTCGGACGCATGGGTTTTTTCAGTTTTCGGCTCAAAACTTTGCGTGGATCAAAGCTGGTGCAGATATTTGAGAACTGTCTTGTAGAGCTAGGTTTGCGCTATTTAAAGGCAGTGTCCCACCAGACTGGGGGTATCTGGCTCTCGTAATGATGTGATAGTAGACCCCCCCCCCCTACCTAAGCGATGACTGAAGTTCGGAGCGAAAAAGGGGGTCTACTAAGCCTGAAATTTGCTCTGAAAGTGGGCCAAATCTTACGGTAGGCCCGGACGCCGCCCACACGGCAATATCGATTTGCAGGGCCAGAGTGCGTATAGCGCACACATCATGAGTGCAGGCACCCGCAACGACTCTGCGTCTCTACCTTTCATGCACCTGGCACTCGCCCGAGCCTACCGTAAGATTCGGCCCACTTTCGGAGCAGATTTCAGGCTTGGTAGACCCCCTTTTTCGCTCCGAACTTCAGTCATCGCTTAGGTGGGGGGTCTACTATTACATCATCACGAGAGCCAAGTACCCCCAGTCTGGTGGGACGCTACCTTTAATGATATATCGACTATTTGGGATATAAGATATTCCGGATTATTGCGGTCTGTATCGATTTTGGTGCAGGAATTATGCATCAACCTAATATCAAAAATCTTCCAGTGGTGGGAAACCGCGGCGGGTCCCGAAGCGAACGCTCTTCCAAATAGTACCTTTATATTACTGGTTCGCTAGTATTTTTTTTTTCAAAAATCTCCACGCGAAAGCTTGTAAGAAACTTCTGTAACAAATCTTGGAAAGCGTGTCTAAGTATACACCCACCACTCAAAAAATTATAACCCGCTCTCTCTCTGAACAGTTTTTTGGATCACCAATACACAGGAAGTCCAGGTATCTGATCTGTCTGGACACTGTTCTCAAAGCCCATCTTCATGGTGCTTTTGGGAAGGAAAGGGAATAAGTGCGCACCTTTGAGTATTTCTCATTTGAAGTCTCCCCTTACAGAAGATGTTCTTTCAGCCTGTCACAGTGCCCGTCAGCGAAAGCTCCGCCGCTGACCCTGACGAGGCCGGTGTTCCAGGAAGTCTACATCTCACAAGAGCACGAGAAGCCTCTTCTTCAATAAGCAACGTATCTGGAGACAATGAGGTAATTTTTTACTCCGTTCTACTTTAGATATACAGAGCACGCTTGTTTTAATCGGCTGTTATGCATCAAGAGAGCTCCTTCGTAATTGATAATGAGAAATTGAGTTTGGAGGGGCCGATTCATTTACAGGCATGTGAAACCGCTTTTTCAGTCAGCAATGCTACCGTCACAGAAAATGAGTTGTTTTCAATTGTTTGCTTTTTCTTCCGCAGAAACGCTTATTTTAGTCTGTCATCATGCTTGAAGAAGATTAGATGATTGGTACTCTCCTTTACTGTAGAGAATGTTGCGATTCGACTCCAAAATAGACTTGACTTTTGCGGCAAAATGCTAATCGCGCTAGCAATAGGTTATTTCAATGAAGGGAAGCGATATGGCGGTTGAAAAGGTCGATTAAACATGCAGAGGTTAGTAAGGAAGTTAGGTGTTCAAGACTAAGATAGCCCTGAATAATATTATTGAATAGTCTTTTTGGATGTGAGAGTGCTCAAACCTTGCAAGAGATGGTACTAAAGTATGGTGAATACTAGAGTCGTCTTTTTTAGTGAATTTCTTGTTTGACACTAGAAAAACGCAGTGCAATCGTCGCAATTCTCATCTTGTTCCGAACCTTGCGAATTATCATTTTAGAGCAGTTGAACTCGGTTTACATCCAAAAATCTGCTATGAGGCAGATGCATTACTTGTATTAGGTTGTAAAGAAACTTCCCGGGCACTTTTGTAAATTTCATTTTCAAACCATTTTTTCCGCGCTGGGTCGGACCTTGACATCAAATTTTTTATAGTGTTCAGTAGAGGGAAGCCTGAGGTTTTCCATACGCCTTCTGGCTTTTATCGATGCCAAGACGTGTTTGATCGGCACATCCAGAAGAGAGTCTTTCCAACCACAAAAATTCCACAATTTTTCTTCCTACGGCCATTTTTTTGTGCAATCAAAAGAATTTCGTCCGAATTATGGGTGATATGACTGTGAAGCCTGTTAGCCTCTGATCCGCAGCTGCATTCGAGTTTTGCGACATATGCTCAGATCAGTGGCGTACCCAGGATTTCGGCTCGGGGGGGGGGGGGCGACAAAAATTTTTTACTAATGAAGGTGCGTGGCATCAGCCACGCACTCCGAAAAATTTTTTGGGATGTTTCCCAAAATTTTTCCGGGCCTCTGAGCCCAATATTTCAAAAAAAGGGGCGTGGCTGCCGCCACGCCTCCTTTTTCTTTAAAAAATTTTTTTACAAGGCTAATTTGAACAAAAATTTTTAAAAATCATTTTAATTATTTACAAGTAAAAACAAGTCCTCTGCACATTTTTATAACACATTTAAGTAACTTTCAAAAATTTCGCGACCCATTCTCGGGGGGGGGGGGGGCCGCCCCCCGCCCCCCCCCCCCCTCGGTACGCCACTGGCTCATATAATACAAACTGTCGAACTTGCCTTTGATTGCAACTCTTTTCGCAGCTGGCGTCGCTTCTGCGGGGATCGCCACGCCTGGATAATGGGTCCAAAAGATGTGCAAGACATTACCCCCACAATGTTCCCAGTAATCAAAGATTTGATCCTTTCTGTGCAGAACTAGAACACTTCAAAGTCACTTACTCGGAAAATGGTGCATTTTTGAAGGCAAAAAAGGCTCGATTTTTGAAACTTTCTGGGAAAAATCTTTTTGCAGGTAATCCTTCAAAAGCATGAATGGTTTTCATAACAGTCTCAGCAGACCTCTATGTAACTACAGCATCTGGGCTCTACAGCTCTCATCCGTCCTGAGATAATTTTTGCACAAATAAGCCACTTTTCGCAACGACCTTTTTCCCTTCTGCGCATGTTGGTGGACCGCAGTGAGGTGCTGAGATGCCAGCAAGACAAATATAAATGCTGCTGCATGACGAAGGCGCAATGGCGATATTGGTTGAGCTTGCGCAAACGCGACGCGCGCGTATCCTCCACTGTAGATCCCGCACCTCATGCGCTCTGCGGCTAATAAAACCGCGTTCGCGCCCGAAGATATTGCGCCTTCGTCATGCAGCAGCCTATACGTTGTGGACAAAATTGTCTTTGCAATGAAGTTTGTAGCTTCAAAAAAGAATCAATCTGCTTGAAGTTATAACGATTTGAAAATAATTTCCGCAAGTGCCCGGGAACTTTCTTCACAACCTAATATAATGTAGTATGCGCACTGAAATTTTTGGGTTTCCTGCAGGACGAATCTGTAGGCTTTGCAGCCAAACAGCAAGAAAAGTTATGATTGCAATAATAAGAACGGTCATTTTTGTGTGACGCGTGGATGGCCTAAGCAAATGCCTTAACGTTTCAGAGCCTTTTTAGACAAAAGCGCAGCCTTATAATCTTGTAGATACTATCTGCTTATCATTATGGGACTTTAGAAGCCGATTTTAGAGCCTCAAAATTGTGATGACTTTATAATAAGGTGGAGTGGATGAAAAACGCAACGATCACACGGGATTGCAGGTGTCAAACAAAATAATCATCAAAAAAGCTTAGTGCAACAAGTTTTAATACAAGCTGAGCAAAGTCCTAGAGCCTCACAAATCAGAGGTTTTCAGAGCGCACTAAATCCAAAAGCTTTAAGTTATCCGGTAAGAGTAACGCTCCGCTCTCTAAACTGCACTGGGTTCAGCATACAGCAGATATCTCAAAAATCATTCCTGCAACTTTACGAAAGTTTTGGTGCAAAAGACTGCAGCTTCGAGTGGAAAAAAAGGAGTTTGTCTGAGGTGTTCATATAGTTATGAACCGCATTGCCCGGCGTAAATTTCTTTCCCAGATTAGCACCGATTTTCTTCTTGGACTGTATACAACGTTTTCGGCTAAGTTTTTCTTGTGCTACCAAAGATTTTCGAGCCTTATCCAAACACTCTTGAAACTCCCAAACTCAAAATGTGGGGTGTCTCAAAATTACGAACCCAAAATATGCAATGATCCCTGAAGTCTCTAGTCTTCACCTGGGCTCTTCCTTTGGCGCGCACAAGTTGAAGAGGTTCCTTCCCTCGGAATCACAGGGCCGTAATAAACCGGTATTTTTTACTGCTAATTTTCTCTGTAGAACTGCTTTTTTAGTCTCTTTTTTAGTCACAATGAAGTCATTTTATATAATGCTATCTTGGAAATTATTTATTGTTGAAGTGGTTGGTCTTCCCATGCGATACATGCTTGTTTTAGTCTGGTGTTGTGCCAGGGGAGAGCTCCTTTGCTGAATCTAGAGAGAAATTGGACTCGCCTTTGCTTCACTCACAGCCAATGGAAAACTTTCCTCAAACCAGCAGGACTACATCTGCAAACAATGAGGTAATTTGATAACTTTCACTTCGGGTATCAGGTATTGTGGAGATTTCAGGGCGACCTATCTTCGACAATGGTGCTCCGGAACGAAATCTTACGCTGTCTGGATAATCTCACTACTTTGCTGGTTCGGAACTTGGTTGCTTCTAGCTCTGATTGTTTAGCTACTCCAGGCCCTGGGCCTGGCACGTTTGGCTTCGGTCATGTCCAAAAACGAAGTCCCTCATGACATCATGCACAATTATTCAAAGTCTTTTGATTGTTGAAATGGGACAAAAATCAAAAGGAAGAAATCATTTGTTGCAGAACGGTATGCAGTAATAGGAGTTTCAGCAATGTCTAAAAAAGCGTTACCTAACTCAAAATCACAAAATACCCTCATAGAAAGGATTTCTCTCTATCTGCAACAGCGAGCTGTGCATAGAAGAGGGAAATGAGTCCCACCTCAGCTCTTGCATCTCTGAATACTCGCTTTGTGGGCTGGAGCGCAAAATTCGTCAATGCTTACAACCTTAAATCTATTTAAATCCCAAAAAATGAGAGAAAGCAAGGGTCTGTTTTGGTCTCTTCACTAAATGATAGGTTTTCAAGTGTTCAAATGGTTCATGCCAAAAGGTCCAAAACTTATGTAAGCTTTCCAGTAATCATGATTGGGACGGACCCAGTTGGTTTAATTGTCCAGAAACCATCATATCCGAAAACAGATGTTAGACACATAAGTTTTCAAATTTTTTTGCGTAATGTAGTCGGGAGTAATATGTACATTGAGTCCAAATTCATTGTCATATGATCAACTGTGTGCTGTGGACAACCATCTGTATTTTGGCATCATTTCGAATTTCGCGCGCTGGTGAGAACGCGTTAGAGCATGCCAGTCATGTACCGGCTTGATGACGAAGCATGTGAGCATGTTTTGGGGTGCTGTTAGAATTCACACACATGGCGGCCGCTGCTCCCGAGTTTTATAGCCAAGAAATCTCAGGTGCTAAAGTGACGGGCAGGGTAGGGAAGAAAGGTGGCGACAGATGCATGACCCGGAAGTAATACGGCGACGGTCTTGTTTGATTCCAGTACAACTGTACTGGGACCTGTCCAGGCTTCCAAGCAAGGTAGAGGAATTTACGAAGTTTATAGTCGGGCATCTTAGCACCGCTCAAAATCTGCGGATGAGGGGAAACCGCTACTTTTCCGTTATTCGAACCTCCCCTCTTAAAAGATGATAGAGCTTCTCTCCTTGTATCATAATTAGTCTCAACTCAGCAGGATGGAGTGTCAACCTCCTGCCACTTGTCAAAAAAGTTGATTTGCACCTGCATGTTCAACAGAATTGACAAGATTTTTGGTCTCTCAGCAACTAACGTGAGCCAACCTTGATTTTACCATATCTCCTTCTTCAATTTTTCAACAACATCAAAATGGACATTGACTTAATGTGATAGTTTGAAGAGGAAGTTTGCTTTAAAAATTATTGCTGAAAGCCATCAAGATGTTCTAGTGAAGGTTTCGAATATTTGCTTTTATAAAAATGCTGAATAGCATCAGCAAGTGATCTCATGCTCTCGCACTTCTTCAAAGACCCAAGAAAAAATAAGGCAAAATGTGCTGGTTTTCTGAAACGAAATCATTGAATGATCGGTGATCAGTTGTGTGTGTTGAGTGTGGACTGCGGTCGATTGCTGCCACGCGGGACTTACGCGCAGCGGGTACACCTCAGACTTGGGTAATTAAACTTAAACTAAACTTAATTAAACTTTATTATAAAAATCTAACTAACAACTATAAACGTTACGATAATACATAAAGGGTATAGGTTTAATATATGCCATCCGGGTAGCTTATGTGTTACTGTGAGGGGTTCTGTGAGGGGACTGTGATTCACTGTAAGAGATCTGTGAAGAGAATATGACTTACAAGTGAAGTACTTTCAAAGGCCGTGGCCTTTTCATATGAGATGCATATCATCTGAAGCAGCTTCGAACGCTGATTTTGAATCTGCTTTCTTTTTCTGCGGAAGAGATTCTTTTCTGAAAGAAGAGAAACTCTTCTGAAGAGAGTTATGGAAGCCTGAAAATCCTATTTTGGGGGCGCTCCTTAAGTTTGAGAGCGCTGCTCTGTGCGTCGGTGGTACAGTGTAACGGTTATTGGTGGCATTGAAGGCGAAAGGTCGATGGTTCGAATCCGGTGCAGAGCGAACTATTTGCACTGTTAATGTGAGTTAAAAAACCACTCTAATTCGCCTGCAGACAATTACTGTGATGCCCTTGGCGAATGTGACCTAAGAAAAATTTTTCCGGCATAATTGCTTGTAATGAGACCCTAAAACTCTACTTGACTTCGTTACTAGTAAAACAGGACCAAACATGGTGAACGTGTTCATTCATCACCATATAAAGCTCAAAAAATGCGCACTGTCACCAATGGAGAAGGTGTTCTCTCTTGCCTTTTTGCCTTCGAGCAAGAATTGCGCGGAGATTTTTTTCATACGCTGTTCCCGTTGTGAGAAATGTCTGTGTTTTGCCCACTTTGTAATTTCGCTTCACCTCTATACATAAATTTTTTTGCATAAAAATCCCAATCTCAACAAGCAAGCGGTTCTGCTAGAAGATGTTTTCCTTAGGTCACGTCCAAGGACATGAGCATGACAGTAACTGTCTGCAGACGAATTAGAGTGGTTTTCAAACTCACATTAACAGCGCAAGATGGTTCGCTCTGCACCAGATTCGAACCATCGACCTTTCGCCTTCAATGCCAACAACTAATTGTTACACCACTGCACCACCGACGCACATGGCAGCGCTCTCAAACTCAAGGAGCGTCCCAAAATAGGATTTTCAGGCTCCATAACTCTCTTCGGAAGAGCGTTCCGCAGAAATGGAGAGCAGGTTTGAAATCAGCGTTCGAAGCTGCTTCAGAAGATATGCATCTCATATCAAAAGGCAACGGCCATTGGAAGTAGCTCCCTGTTAAGTTAAAGGCAAGAATGACCATAACGTAAGATACAATGAGAGGAAGGGAAAACAACATACAACCGTGAATATGTTCACTTCACGATACTAACTACTTATATATGTAAGCGGATATAAACACACTCAAAGCAAGCATGGGAAATTCACTGATAAGAACATCAAAGAACATAAATCTGTGAAACGTCCGAGCTTCGGTCAGAGTTTGCCATCGCGCATTCCTCATGATCCAAAGAACGATACGAACGCAAGTTTGTATAATCGTCGTTGTAGGTGGATAACCCGCTATGATGATTTTTACCGGACTTAGGCCCTATGCACGTACATTTCCGCGGAGGGGAGGGATCCGAGAGGGAACGCGTGATACGTCGCTACTCTGGATACCTTTATTCTCCCTTGTCTATCTGGGTTATGAAAGATCTCATATCTGATAACTGCGCATGGTGTTTGCCAGGGTACTATCACACAAGATCAGAATTTTACTTTTGTTTGATCCCCTGGGGATCCCTAGGGGATCACCTCTTATCTTCAAAGTCATCTTCCTGTAAAACTTCGATATTCCACTGCTCGCGAGCTAGGGACTATCGAAAAATTCACAATCTTCAGATTCCATTCCTTCTGTCGAAAACATGCTTAGCAGTGCCGTATCATATTCCCCGTACAAATTTACAGCGTTTTCATGAGTTTCCAGGAAGGTGAATAACTTTGAAAATAGAAATGGCAGTAACCTGGCATCCATTATGCGCAGGTATCAGGGCATGGGAACCTTCATAACCCAGTTAGAGAATGAAGAAGAAAGATATCTAGAGTAGCGAGATATGACATGTCCCTTCTCAGATCCCCTACCTTCCCCTAGGGGATGTACGTGCATACGGGCCTAAAGCATGAATTTCAAGAAATCTGCCTGAAGAATTCGGCTTGGATAACAAAAATACCGAGAAACTTGTAACTGATCCATCAAACGCCGAGAATAAGCGTGTTTGGTAGTCGTGACCTGCGTCCAAATATTGCAAGAGCGCTTGTACCTTGAAGAAAATATGTGTGCTTGCCTGTGGTACAAATACTGTTTGTAGTGGTTTTCATTGCACTATGAAGTCTCACTTTCAGCGCGGTCATAACGCTTCAAAAAAAATTGCTTGAGTTTTTTTGATACCTCTCCATTGATGGACTTTTCTGACAGAACATTCTCATTTCAGACTAATGTGGTTGAGAGCCTTGGTGCTGACAATGAGAACGCGGTGAAGGATGCACAGTCGCATTTGCCCCAGTCACAGGAAGATTCTTCTCTATTTAACACCGCTATATCTGCAGACAATGAGGTAATCCGATTTCTCTTATATTTCTCCTATCAGGATCTTTCTTCAAGCTCACTTCAGTTGATTATCAACGGCGAGCCCATGAAACGCGAAGTAGACGACCCTGGTTATCGTTATGCGCAATACTTGTCTGAGATGACGAACAGAAGTATGTCCTTCTCGCCTGTTGCAATGTACTGTCACTGATACGATTACAGCTAGAGATATTCCATTCGAAGATTGGCTGGAGATCACTTCAGATGCTGGTGTTGCAGTTTACGACAGGGACCGCTACCATTACGTTGACGGTAAATGCTAAAAGGCAGTATCAGCATAGCTTCAGACCAGGGTCATGCGTGGGTTGTGGCATGCCTCACTGGGGGCGGGGATATTGAAGGGTCCTTATCGTGTACTGATGCTAGCGATAACTGTCAGATAAGCCCGTTATGCAATTCAAGCGCATTGTAGTGTTGACCTAGCGTCGTATATGTAGTACACTAAGCATAATGAATACGCACTAAAAGCATAATGGGCATCATTTTCCTTAGCATTTGAAATAGCCCCTAGACTAAGTTTTAGGAATTCTGAGATTCGCAAATATTGGACCACCAGAATGAAATGGTCACTTTCGAACATGATTATCTTTGCTTTTAGAGCAGCGTCCAGGCATATATGGACATATGGAAACCCCACGTAGAAATAATTTTGGAACCCTTACTGAGACACCACGTGACAGCTTACATGATACGCTAACGGCTGAGATATTTGACGCATACATTGAGCAGGCCCTTTGAATGGTTAATCCCCGAGGACCGATGTTCATGGATGTAATTCGTTTTGACGGGCCTAGTAGGTTGAGCCTAGCGGAGGGTTGGCTAACCCACAGACCGCTTTACTGGAATGGGTTTGCTTAACCCAAACATAGAGCACTGAAAGTGCTACAAAGAAATACGATTCTTTGTCATGTTGTTTTCTTGGGAGTCTCGATTTGCGGATTTGCTGATTACAACTTCTTTCAAAAAAAAAACAGTTGCTAACAGATTAAATGTTGCGGGATCAAGCAGTTTTTGACTATCATAAATAGAATGCGCCATATGGAGAAGACAAGTGAGAGAGAAAAGAAAATTGACAGAGACTTCTGCAAAGTTTCCTTCAAGACCGTAATTTTGACATACTACCGCTCCATATAAGGAGAGGCAGACATATTTGGTGCCATCATTGAGAAGCCTACACTGCAGAGATTATTTGGTGATTGTGGAAGTCAGATTGTGCTGCACAAAGATTTTTACAAGCAAACCAAGAAAAAAAATCATTATTCGAGCACTCTTCCGCACACGTACAGTTGAATCATTTCATATGATCATGTGTGCACCTGCACATCGCATTCGTCCATCTTGGCGTCCTCATCCTGGATTTGCAATCGCAAAAACGCAAGAAAATGACCGATTGCTATCGCTTATCATTTTGAGGTGAATAGTACAAGAAATAAAAAGAAAACATTGAGAACCCCTCAAACCACTTACATGAAGATTACCTCCTCCAAGAATCCAGGATGGGAACGCCAAGGGTGGACGGCGTGTGCAGTGACACACATGATCATATGAAATGATTCGACTGCAAATATGCTGACTTTTCGATAACTGATTTTTTCTTGTTGTCGCGAACGAAAAAAGCTAACTGGCTGATGGTCTCTGCTTGCTATAGCTTACACAAATTACATACATCACTTGTCGCTATACGTATAGGGGCCTGCAGGATCGCGAGAGTCGATGAGGTTGCCATTGCTCGTGCATTGAGCTTTCTAGGTTTCTTTCTCCATTTAGACGTTTTTCCGCTATCAGATGTAAGCTTCCAATTACTGGAGGCAATTCCGAAAAGTACAGGATTGTTTGAGTGGTTTGAGGCCTTGTAGCATCCTGCGTGCGCAATGGCCGCAAACTCACCGACTCTCGCGATCCTGCAGAGCCCCATAGATGTTGCGCTCTAAGATAACCAAGTTTGTCTACCTTTGAATACAAAACCGAAAAGTAAGACATTTTTTTATGTGAGAGGAAAAGTGTGTGTATATTAGTCCATTGCATCTTACTCAATGTAAATTTTTACATAGGTAATTAATTTACTCACGAAAGCTGCGGAAATTCTCTCCATACAAACTTTTTCTTGAGCGCGACTGTACTTTGGCAACTTAACTTGAGGCTCGAAATTTTTTCACATTGTATGGCGTTGTATTGCCGAAAAACAGTAGTCATTAAGAAGAGCAAGAAATGTTTTGTAGACGATGTTCATACACTGTAATTAGTGCAAAACTCTAAGAAAATAGCTGCGTTACAACAAGGCAACTGAAATCCGTACAGAATTCTGAAACAACCCAATATAACATGTTCTCTTGTAGAATGTTTGAATGACGTGTCTCTCTTGCCCTTTGCAGGACTGATTTCAAGATTTGCCGAACTTCAAACAAGTAGTAGAGACTATGAGAGGTACTGGAGACCTTAATCGTGGAAACTATATTTCTGCTGGCCGGGCCCTCCGTGCGCTGGTTATGGTGGCCTCAGACCTCGCTGGAACTGCTGGCTTCTGAAGGCGTTCGAACCCGCCTTTACCGTGCCCGATACAGGCGCGTTTGAGCGCGTTGTGGAGCCTCGCCTACTGCCAGCCTGTCGAGTACGCACGACGCCGCGTAGTCGTCGCTCATAACGATATTCACCCCTGCATTGGTGATCCTACCTAACCGTTTCACCAACTCTCGGACGATGGTCACAACCCAGCTGAGAGTCCAATCCCAATGGGTTCGCTGATAAGTACACGCACCAGCAGCGCTGGAGCACGTAGGTTTGGAACGTCAGCGGAGCTCCCCAAACTTGGCAGCAAAATTCTTACAGAAGTTTGGGACGCTTGAGGAGCTCACCTTGAAAGCAAAACTCTTGCGGAATTCTCGCTTATTTATTTTCCCGCAGCTCCCGGAGACGTACTCATTCAACTAAAGCGTACCAGTCAGTTTCAGACCCACCTGCGAAACGCAGACGCAATTAGCTGCGCTGTCAAGCCTTCTTTTTTGCTACAAAAATGAGAAAAATGGTAATTCAGTATCTCCCGGTTGATCTTCATTAATATCCTTTCATTTTGTTGACTTCTCATCTGCGTTATTGATTCTGTTGTGCCTTCTTTTTTTGCTGCAAAAATGAGAAAAATGGTAATTCAGTATCTCCCGGTTGATCTTCATTAATATTCTTTCATTTTGTTGACTTATCATCTGCTTTATTGATTCTGTTGTGCCTTCTTTTTTTGCTGCAAAAATGAGAAAAATGGTAATTCAGTATCTCCCGGTTGATCTTCATTAATATCCTTTCATTTTGTTTACTTATCATCTGCGTTATTGATTCTGTTGTGCCTTCTTTTTTTGCTGCAAAAATGAGAAAAATGGTAATTCAGTATCTCCCGGTTGATCTTCATTAATATCCTTTCATTTTGTTTACTTATCATCTGCGTTATTGATTCTGTTGTGCCTTCTTTTTTTGCTGCAAAAATGAGAAAAATGGTAATTCAGTATCTCCCGGTTGATCTTCATTAATATCCTTTCGTTTTGTTGACTTATCATCTGCGTTATTGATTCTGTTGTGCCTTCTTTTTTTGCTGCAAAAATGAGAAAAATGGTAATTCAGTATCTCCCGGTTGATCTTCATTAATATCCTTTCATTTTGTTGACTTATCATCTGCGTTATTGATTCTGTTGTGCGTATCAATAGTTCACTGACTATAGGGTCTGCTCCACTAGGTTCTGCTTAAAGAGTACTTTGACACGCTTTTACTGGTTGATATTCTTTTGAATTGTGAATATTGGGTAGTGAATGTCCTTCGGTCATAAGTGTTCTCATCGACCCCGCAAACTCACTAACAATGAGTGTTGAGGGGCATCCTGCTCTACAATTTCCAAGTCTTTTTCAGATGTTTTCTTGCTTATGCATTGCTTCTCTCTTGTGTTGTTAGGTGTGCTAGGTACAATAGGGGTGATCTCATATTCTTCTAACAGGGTTGCACATCTCGCTCGGCACCCACGATCTTGTTTTCCTTCAGAGTATGGAGTCAGAGACGATTTTGCTCATTTGCAGAGAACATTTCGCGGGTTTAAATGTCCGCATGTTTGTCGGTTGTTTCTTATGCCTTCGAAATTAATGAGATCGAAACGTCTTTACAAGAATTATCCGTCTGAGCGCGAAAGTTATTCTATGATGACTACTCAGGTCCTTCTATAAAACTTTTGATTGTTGAAAAAGTGAGAGGTATCTATCAAAGAATTGCGCTGTTAATCTGAAAGCACAACGACAGGTTCGCGGTCGCCGGAGCGATGTGTCGTTTGAATATGGGTTGACTTTGACTGGCCAACACTCGTACCTCAAATCTCATGTTGTGCTCTTTCATGATCTGCCTTGTTACCATAGTACAGTTTGTTGAATAAATAGATTAGTTGGCTTTTTATTTCAATTTTTTCTATTACTATAATCATACTTGCTTGCTCAGCCCATAGCGGTTGGTCACATTTACACTTGCGCTGAAATCACAATGTTACATTGACTGAAGCAGTACTGAGAAGCTTATTTGTGATTTTGTCGCCTTATCAATCAAGGCCTGAAAAGCTTGGCGAGTAGACAGAGACAGGCACGAAACTACGCAAGAGCATTGTTCACAGCGTTGAACATTGTTCACAGTATAGTAGAGCTGTCTAATTACTACTTCATTCAACTTTTTCCCTCGTTGCTATATTTCCATCAACTACTTATACCGTTTGCAATCTGCAGTCGTCTTCCAGTAAGGTCATCCCAGGACATCCTAAAGGAAGCCTACTACAGATTTAGACGAAGCCGGTTTGCTAAATTTTGTGCAAACACGCAATCAGCTGTTGCGTAATAGAAAAACAAATTGAGAAGCCGCTGGAGGGTCATTAATAAAACATTTGTTGTGTTTACATTAGGAACTTAAATTGTCAATTCTCCCCGTGTAGAGCGGCCAACTTTCTCAGAATCATTTTCTTTCTTTGCTCTCTATGGGAACATCCCAGAGAATAATACAATTGTGCAGGATTCTAAACAGAGCTAAGCATGTTCCGATAAGGACGAATGTCTTATTAAAATTTGAGATTCTCGAACGACGTTTGCCTGTTATTCATCGAAATCTTTGTCTTTCGTATTGGCTTATCGCTAGCATTGTTGTATTAGATATTGAGCACTATTTTGTGTAGTTTGATCAAATTAGTGAAGAAAAATTGACTCTGCGAGAAGAAAAGGTCAATCGCTGGGGATCAGCGGACATCATAGAAAAAAT